CACCCCCTCCACCCCCTCACCTCTTGTAGTTGTCCATGGTCTCCTTTGGACCGACCTGAACTCTCTCTGTTCCAGGTGTCAGAACAGATGAAGGTCCAGAATTCTCCGTCCTCCAGCATCGTCATCATTCTGACTGATGGGAAACTGGAGGTTTATCCATACGAGCTGAGCGTACAGGAGGTACAGACAGGAGGTACAGACAGGAGGTACAGACAGGAGGTACAGACAGGAGGTACAGACAGGAGGTACAGACAGGAGGTACAGACAGGAGGTACAGACAGGAGGTACAGACAGGAGGTACAGACAGGAGGTACAGACAGGAGGTACAGACAGGAGGTACAGACAGGAGGTACAGACAGGAGGTACAGACAGGAGGTACAGACAGGAGGTACAGACAGGAGGTACAGACAGGAGGTACAGACAGGAGGTACAGACAGGAGGTACAGACAGGAGGTACAGACAGGAGGTACAGACAGGAGGTACAGACAGGAGGTACAGACAGGAGGTACAGACAGGAGGTACAGACAGGAGGTACAGACAGGAGGTACAGACAGGAGGTACAGACAGGAGGTACAGACAGGAGGTACAGACAGGAGGTACAGACAGGAGGTACAGACAGGAGGTACAGACAGGAGGTACAGACAGGAGGTACAGACAGGAGGTACAGACAGGAGGTACAGACAGGAGGTACAGACAGGAGGTACAGACAGGAGGTACAGACAGGAGGTACAGACAGGAGGTACAGACAGGAGGTACAGACAGGAGGTACAGACAGGAGGTACAGACAGGAGGTACAGACAGGAGGTACAGACAGGAGGTACAGACAGGAGGTACAGACAGGAGGTACAGACAGGAGGTACAGACAGGAGGTACAGACAGGAGGTACAGACAGGAGGTACAGACAGGAGGTACAGACAGGAGGTACAGACAGGAGGTACAGACAGGAGGTACAGACAGGAGGTACAGACAGGAGGTACAGACAGGAGGTACAGACAGGAGGTACAGACAGGAGGTACAGACAGGAGGTACAGACAGGAGGTACAGACAGGAGGTACAGACAGGAGGTACAGACAGGAGGTACAGACAGGAGGTACAGACAGGAGGTACAGACAGGAGGTACAGACAGGAGGTACAGACAGGAGGTACAGACAGGAGGTACAGACAGGAGGTACAGACAGGAGGTACAGACAGGAGGTACAGACAGGAGGTACAGACAGGAGGTACAGACAGGAGGTACAGACAGGAGGTACAGACAGGAGGTACAGACAGGAGGTACAGACAGGAGGTACAGACAGGAGGTACAGACAGGAGGTACAGACAGGAGGTACAGACAGGAGGTACAGACAGGAGGTACAGACAGGAGGTACAGACAGGAGGTACAGACAGGAGGTACAGACAGGAAGTACAGACAGGAGGTACAGACAGGAGGTACAGGAGGATTATTAAATTTGGAAAGTTATGAATTTTTATGAATTGTTAAGTTGCATCAGTTGTGTACAAGTTATTTACTACTACTACTACTACTACTACTACTACTACTACTACTACTACTACTACTACTACTAGTACTACTAAATGCGTAGTGAATACTAACTTGTAAAGGCTGTGTACTCACAGGTTTTAACTTCAGATTCAAACTTCACACACGTCTGTTCCCAGGCTGACGTCGCCCGGGGGTTTGGAGCCAGAGTTTACTGTGTCGGGGTCATGGACTTCGACCACAAACAGGTAGAAAAAACAAACAAACCCTCATGTTTATCCTCTGACTCATGGGTTTCTTTGACTTTCTGCCTGTGTTTGTTGTTGTTCTTTGTCTGGTTGAGATCATTCGACTCCACTGGAGGTCGGAGCCGCAGGAAATGACATTTAGTTGATGCACGAATACCTATTAAAGGTTTGGAGGCAGCGTGACATCACTTCCTCTTCCTGTACAGTTGTTAAAAACAAGACATTTGTGAAAGAAGTAAAAATCAAAGGAAATGTTATTGTTGTTTACCTTTAAACACCATTAGAACAAACATCAGTGTTCTTTGATGAATGTGGATCAAAGGGAAATCAATTATTATTATTAATTATTAATAAGTGAGAGCAAATAGTTACTAGTTATAGACTGGTTACTGACTGACTGACTGGTTACTGACTGACGAGTTACTGGTTGACTGACTGACTGGTTACTGACTGACTAGTTACTGGTTGAATGACTGATTGACTGGTTACTGACTGACTGACTGGTTACTGACTGACTAGTTACTGGTTGACTGACTGACTGACTGGTTACAGACTGACTGACTGGTTACTGACTGACGAGTTACTGGTTGACTGACTGACTGACTGACTGACTGACTGGCTAAACAGAAAGTGATTACATCACTCCATGATTAAATCATGTCAGACCAGCTTCCTGTTGTGCAGTTGTTACAGCAGTTGATGAAAGCTGAGGCTGGCGCCCCCTGGCTGTCACCTCCTCTAAAGGAAACTCTTTTTATTTTACGTTGTCTGAACGACTTCTCGCAGCTCGCTCAAATAGCCGACAGCAAAGACCACGTCTTCCCGGTGTTATCTGGATTTCATGCCCTCAAAGACACTGTCAACGCGGTGAGGTCACATGACATCTGACCATGCTGCAGTTATCAAGGTGGAGCACTGACACTGACCTCTACCTTCACCTTTGTGTACTACAGATCCTGGAGCAGACGTGTGCCGACGTTTTCACCATCCAGCCTTCGAGTGTTTGTGTGAACGGTGAGTGATCGCAGTAACAACGTGTATTTGATGATTGTTTCTGATAGTCATTCAAAAAGACATCCATCATCCATCCATCCATCATCCATCCATCCATCATCTATCCATCCATCATCTATCCATCCACCCATCCATCATCCATCTATCCATCATCTATCCATCCATCATCTATCCATCCACCCATCCATCCATCATCCATCCATCCACCCATCCATCCATCAATCATCATCCATCCATCATTCATCCATCCATCCATCTATCTATCCATCCATCCATCCATCAATCATCATCCATCCATCCATCATCCATCCACCCATCCATCCACCATTATAAAACATGTAGCTAACATTTAGCTTTCTTTCTTTCTTTCTCTGTTTTTTTTCAACAATTTTAATTTTTTTGGCTAACCTTAACTATTCATGAGCTAACGTGTGGCTAACACTGCTGCGTCCACTGTTTCCCAGAGTCCTTCAACGTGGTTCTAAGAGGCAGCGGCTTCAGTGGAGCCAGGAGGACGGACAACGTACTCTGTCTCCTCACCGTCAATCACAACACATACAGTCAGTAAAAACAGTCAGTCAACACACGCACACACAGCTGTGTCTCTCCTGAATCAGAAACAGCAGTCATCACTGACAGAGGCTAACAGAGGCTGAATCAGTTAGCCGTTAGCTCACGTCGCTAACGGCACTTTGTTTGACTTGTAGCCTGCGGCGCCACAGTCACATGACTGTGTGATAACGTCAGGCCGATCTCTGCTGCAGCGGAAAGTCTGAGTCACCACGGAGGTCGGAGAACAGAGGAGACATTGTTGGGCGGGGAGGGGGGGAGACAGTGGAGTCATTAGTCTGTTAAAGGATCGATGGGGACGGGGGGGGAGTCACTTCTGCAGGAGGACGTTTCAGTGAGAATACTCTGGAAGCTGTTCCATCTCTTTCTGTTTTTCTTCTTCCTCTCAGAGCAGAAGCCAACGGTCGTTACAGACGGACACCTGCTGTGTCCCGCCCCAGTCCTGCAGGGGGCAGGAGAGTAAGTCACCGCCTACATTGACATTACACCACAGGCTTTGATGCCTTTGATGTGATTTACCAAAATAAAAGTTTTTATTCACACAGTTGGTGATAAGACACTGTTGTGAGGTCAAAGGTCAACAGTCCTTGGTCACTTCATCAGACACATGTACTTTTATACACACTATAGAAATACTTCAGTACTTTATGAATACATTGATGTTTTTACTTCATTGTTTTCTGTGTGTGTGTGTGTGTGTGTGTGTCACTGGACCAGAATATCTCTGGTATTTAGAGACAGAGCTGAGGCCGATCTGACTTCACCACTGGTGTACCCCCCCCCCCCCCCCCCCCCCCCCCCCCCCCCCCCCCCCCCCCCCCCCCCCGTCCCAGATCTCTTGAAGTGTTGATCAGTCTAAACGATGGACAGTCCTTCATCTCAGCTCCTGTCATTATCACTGCCACCACATGTGTCAGTATTGAGACGTCACCACATCACACAGTGTCATATTTATCCACTTGAAGCCGACACCGTAAATAAACACGTGGTTCATGTGTCTGTGTGTTGACCACAGTCTGACGGGGCCTGGGTTCTCTGGCTCTTCCTGGTTCTGCTGCTCTTGTTGGTTCTGGTTTTGTTCTGGTGGTTCTGGCCTCTTTGCTGCACAGTGGTGAGTCCGTGTGTGTGTTCACGTGTTCTTTACGTCAACTCGTGGCCCATGGAAATATGACACACACACACCACACACACCAGTGGTATGGAGTATTCAGCCTACTTTTACAGGTACCTGTAGGTGGTGCTGTTGGTCACTGGTACTTTAATGTCATGTTATTACAATATAGAAAAGTACTGTATAAATACATACACACACATATTATTAATCAACATTAATCAACTATAATTAATAAATATTTAGCCATAAAAGTAAGGTAAAAATAAAACTAGAAAAAGCCTCTAAGCTCATAGTTAGAACTAGTCCAAATAAATCAAGCTCTTAGAGTCAGGCCAAGAGTTAGCCAAGAGTTAGCCAAGAGTTAGCCAAGAGTTAGCATCTGAATGTAACTAAACATTTGCTAGAAAGAATCCACATTGTTGTTTGATCATGTTCATTTGTCACAGGTGATCAGAGACCCTCCCCCGTCTCGACCTCCTCCCCCACCTCCTCCTCTCATCATCGTGAGTAAATGGAAAAAAAAAAGTTCCAAATGTTTCAAGTTGGATTTTGAGTCGATAGTGGGATGGAAATTCTTTGCCATCAGCCTTTAGTGGCCTTTAGTGGTACTTCAACAAATAGTCATCAGTGACCTCTGCTCTGGGGTCCTGGTCTGCAGTGTTGACCTCTGGAACCTTTACATCAGTTTTCACTGTTTCTAAGGAGCCAGAAGACGACCTTTCACCCAGACACCGGTGGCCGACGGTGGACGCGTCGTACTACGGACGGGGGACGCGTCGTACTACGGCGGCCGAGGGCCGGGAGGAATCAAACGCATGGAGGTGAATCAGACACCACCAGGGTTTACACTATTTCCACGCCGGTCTCTGTGGATTTACTGCTCCGTGGCCCCCTTCAGGTCAGCGGGAACAGTTGAATACTCAACAGGCGCTGGTGCCGAAGTATCGGTTCTTGGGACAACCCTACTGTCTAGACCAGGCGTGGGCAAACGTTTTGACTCGTGGGCCACAATTGTCATAAATTTGACGGGGATAGTGGGGGTGGAGCAGATAGATGTGAACTAAGGTAAATGACATGCATGCGCCATCTAATGGGGGAACGTGGGTACTGCTGCAGAAACGTCGCTGACTCTTCATCACTTCTGGTTTCAGGTGCGTTGGGGGCAGAAAGGTTCCACTGAGGAAGGATCACGGCTGGAGAAAGCCAAAAACGCTGTGGTCACTTTGCCAGAAGAAGTGCAGGAGCCCATCGTACCAAGACCCCCGGCCAGACCCCCCCCAGTGTACACCCCCCAGACACAGTCTACATGGTACTCTCCCATCAAGGTAAGACGAGCCAGAAAATATTTCAGGAGTTAAATCAGTGCCGGCTTCAGTTCACGGTGTGTGAATTCCAGGGTCGATTTGACGCATTATTGGCTCTACTGAGAAGACAGTACGACAGAGTGGCCATCATGAGGCCCACGCCCCAGGACCAGGTGAGGATCATCTGCAGGGTTAGGCTTAATCTAACTCAGTCTTGGCTAGCTTAATGCTATGTATTTGGAAACTAGCTTTCAGTGGTGTCTTGTTTCCTTTGGGCTAGCTTTCAGTCAACCCTTTTTTATTCAAATTTGGTAGGTTATTTTCTGCTAACTTTTACCAATATTCTTTGGCTTAGCATTAGCAATGTCTGAGCTAACTTTTCATTAGTGCCTTTTTTTGGCTATAAGGAAAGGGATAGAGTTTCATGACAGCTTTTCTTTTTTTATTTACCAAAGATTTTATTTCAGTGCTAAATGCCAAATTTCACTTTCACACTTTTTAGCATTTTAGCTTTTCGTAGTCATGCTTTTGACTTTGACTCTAAATGAATGTTCTTGTTTTTAGGCTAACGTTTGAGCTTCTTCTCCTGTTTTTTCAGGGTCGCTGCATTAACTTCACCAGAGTCTGAAGAACCAGTGTTAAAAACGTCAACTGTCAAATAAATGTTTTTGTTTGTGGATCACTTTAGGCCGATGGCACATATTTGTTTTGTTATTTTGTTTATTTGAAGAAAAAAAAAATTTATATATATTTAATTCTCTTTTCACAAAAGGCCTTGAAGTACGAGTACCCTGACCAGTGTCGCACAACATACACAAAAGTACGCACAAAAACAAAGGCAGTTGTGAGATAAAACACAACACGTAAAAAACAAAGATTTCTCCGGAACAGAAATGTACTTATCCAGAAGAACCACACAAAACATAAGGTTCGCACACGACCTTCAAACCAGCCGTCCAATCAGAGAAATATACAAACTAATACTGTGTATAATAATGCAGTAATACACAGCTAAGTGCAGTGAAGTCATTTCAGAGGATTATCACGAGACTGTTGTCACATGGTACAAAGATGAAGTCACGGTGGAAGATGTTTTCATCCTCCATATGTACATGGTATTTACAGTGCTGGAGAACGGTGCCTCAGGATCGGTTCTCACGATGCAGGAGAGAAGATCTGCAAAACAGGTGCAAAAATAACATTCCCATGGTGCATCAAGACAAGACACCCAATGAGTAGCAAAGTTGACTGAAAGGAATAATGAAATGAAAAAACCTAATTATTGTAGCAAATAGTTAGCTTGAACTTCATTATTCCCTTCAAGGAAATGACACAGAGATATCGTCCAAACAGACTGATAGGCCACACCCACCAGAAGCAGTGTCGACTGATAGGCCACACCCACCTGAGGGAGCGTCGAATGATAGGCCACACCCACCCATGATCATCGATCGATAAACCACACCCACCCGTTTGAGCGTCGCCTGATAGGCCACACCCACCTGAGGGAGCGTCGACTGATAGGCCACACCCACCTGAAGGAGCATCGACTGATAGGCCACACCCACCTGAGGGAGCGTCGACTGTCCTTCTCCATGTTGTTCTCCGGTCCTTCACTCTCATACGAGGCCAGATGAAGTTCTGCAGCAGGAACACAGACCAACAGTGATGAGTGCCTGGAGTTTGTTACCATGGTGAAAGCTCTCAACCAGGGAAACAGGACCTCATGTGGTATGATGAGGTATTGCAGTATGTATGTGCTTAAATCCTGGTCTCTGATGGAGCGAATCCAAAGTTTATGACTAATTCCATGTGGTAAGTTAAATTAATATTAATCAAGACCAATGATACTGTGAAATGCTAAATTACCATTTATGATGTAGCAGCCAGGAGGCGCTGTGACTGTTCTGTCTTGTACTGATATTAGTCAAATCCTTGTCCAAAATTAGATGAATTATAAAACTGTCAACTTTAAAACTGAGCTTTAATTTCAGGATTAAAAATTAAAATGAGTTCCAGAATGAAAAATAGTTCATGAGCAGCATTCTTTCAAGAATTCTTCAAAAATCTGGCTTGGACCTGAGTGTGTCCACTGCCTCTGGCATGAAGCGCTGGTACTGACCGTCTTCGTTGTACACTGGAGTGGTGACCAGGTACTGCAGGATCCTTCTGTCTCTGTCGAAAGGACAAATCACCTGACGCCAAACCAGGAACTCGCTCACCTGCTTGGCCAGTTCCCAGAGTTTCTGTAATGAAGGCAGAAGACCAGCAGATGTCAGCACTCATTTATTGATTGATTTCCTAACCCTTCAGGAGAGCGGAACTTCACAAAAATAACTTTTTACAGCCTTGAGTGCCTTGGCATCACAATTCAAGCACCTTCAAGGACTCATACAAGGCCAAGCCAAAAACAAGTGTTGTAAAAATGTTAGGATTAAATGTGTACAGAAAGGAAAACTTTAAGCATGTTCTGCCACAAGGGGGCACCATTATACTGTATCATCAGAGGGTCATTTTAAAGAGGTGGTGAAGTGAGGAGTGACCTCGAAGTTGATGTGACCGTTGGTCAGTCGGCTGGAACAGCCTTCATTCAGGAAGTAGATGTCTTTGATCAAGAGGCTGAAGAAAGGAATCACAATCTGGAAAAGAAGAAGAAGAAAAAAGATCAACTACATTTAAATCATCTTTTCACTTCTTTTAAAGTTCTTCATTACCTTCTCCTGGCTGCTGTGACCCGTCTCAGACCTCTGGGTGGCGCCGCGGAGAGCAGTGCGGTAATTACTGAAGTTACTGGAGGGATCCATCTGATGCTACATGTGATGAGACCAAGTAGATGTTGACAGATGTTGACAGATGTTGACAGATGTTGACAGATGTTGAGTGTGTGCTTAAAGTCCTGGTTCTGCATTTGTCTCACCTCCAGGATTTCAAACTTGTCCGTGTTGACTTTACTCCAGGTTTTCTTCAGCCGCGCGATTGGACTCATGTTCATCCCGGCTGTGACGTCAGAGACAGAAGAAGAAACTGTTGACATCAAATCAAAGAAACAAAAAGACAGCAGCTAATGGGCTAAAAACAGTTAACACATAGCTGGCGTTTGGCTAGCTTACTGAGCAGCTGGTTTGATTTTTCTGATTTCTATCTTTTTGTTCTCCAACGTTGACCAACTATCACTGTTTTTTTTTACATTTTTGGAGTAGAACTTTATCAACAACAGAGAGAGAAACAAAAATTTCCATCAAAACTGGAAACAATCTTCGTACAAAAATTAAAAAGTTGCTAAAGTGAAAGTCAAATGTTGCCAAAACATATAGGGAAAATAATCTACATGTGGAAAACTAGCTAGCTAAACAGCAGCTAAGAAACAGCGATAGCCCTCAAAACATTTTAAAGGTGCAACAACAGCTCAAAGAAGGTTGCGAGGGCGTAGGGCAATTACTGGGGCAACAGGAAGTTTTCATTAGTTTGGTGGGAGTTTATTAAGAAAGTACAAAAAAACCCCTTTGCTCCTCTATGCCGATGACACGCTGTATATTTACTACATGTTCTTCATACTAATATATACATTAATCTGCTGTAAGTGCCATAATTGGTCCCAGAGCCACACTTTTTATTCCCATTAACCAGACTCTGCACTTCCTCTTCAGGAACAACTGTCCTTCAAACCACCGTCGTCGTCTGCTTTTGATTCTGGGAGTGTGTTTGGAGTTGATGACTCACTGATGATGGCCATGAGGGAGTTGAAGTTGCCGATGTTGAAACACTCCTGAGCCACGTCGATGAAGAACTCGATGATCCGCGCTCTGTGCTTCTTCTTCACCGGCTGAAACCACAGACCATGACAGGAAGTGGGTATGTAACAATCCAAGGTCACTGTTGTGAGGAAGAGTGAAACCACGTGGACGTGGACCAGAGGAGCTCACCATGCAGATCTCCGTGGCCACCAGGTAACTCAGTCTGTTGAACCAGTTCACGTAGGCCTCCAGGTTACTGGTTTTCCGCTTCCGAAAGAAACCCTAAAAAAAAAATGAAAGAGAAACCTTTAAACAAAGATTGAAGAATACAACGTTTTATTTACCCGTCAGTACCTACGAGTACTATTTACTGTGTCTGTAGAAATACCCAGAACTTCATGTGTGTATTTTACCTTCTCTGTCATCAAAACAATTCATCTGGTCACATGTCATTATTATTTAGCATTTAATGCTAAGCTGTTACTCAATATTCAGGTTAATGTTTTTGTTTAAAAAAAGTCTAAAAATAGTCAGCCTGCAGTACCTCCAAAGACCACTAGGTCTACCTCTATTTGTTGAAGTGCTGTTTGAATGAAGCAAACATGGAGGCAATGATGATGATGATGATGATGATGATGATGATGATGATGATGATGATGATGATACCCTGGGGTTCAGTGGGAGGTGGTATTAGGTGGTATTACTGTGTACTCTGAGGGGGGATTACTGTGGACTCTGAGGTGGGATTACTGTGTACTCTGAGGTGGTATTACTGTGTACTCTGAGGTGGTATTACTGTGTACTCTGAGGTGGTATTACTGTGTACTCTGAGGTGGTATTACTGTGTACTCTGAGGTGGTATTACTGTGTACTCTGAGGTGGTATTACTGTGTACTCTGAGGTGGTATTACTGTGTACTCTGAGGTGGTATTACTGTGTACTCTGAGGTGGTATTACCTTGTGGTTCTCCAGAGGATCCTTCATGGCAAACGACTGGATGAACTCTTCAGGGCCGATGAAACTCAGTCTGTCCTGTAGGTGGAGACAGAGACCAGTCAGAGCCACATCAGAAACAACAGTAGGACAGAGGAAGCAGAAGGATGAAGGAGACAAGGAAAGGAACAGAGGAAGGAGATGCTAAAATACTCTGTGCCAGTGAAAAACTACTCTAATAAATGTTAGCTGTTCCTGGGCTAGCTTTCAGTGCACAGCTAGTCCTCCTGCTACACCTTTAGCTTACTTTATACTTCACTTTGCTAACTAAGCTATTGTCTGTTATCCCGTGGATATTTGTCCAGTTTCTCCTTTAATGGTACTTAAACAAATATTTTGAAATATCTGAAGTATTTTGCTGCCTTTAACTACAGTATAACACAGTAATTCTACAAAACAAAGACAACTTTTTTTCTGTAAAAACTTAATTAAACGGCTAAATGGTGATGCAAGCTTTGAAAGCCCAGCTTGACTGACCCCCCCCCACCCCCCGAGAGAGTGTACAAGTTGACCAATACTGACCAGTTCGATGTGTGTGAGCTGCTGAGCCAGGATGAAGGGGTCGTCACACACACTCAGTACGTCGCTCCTCTGACCAGACGCCTGTTTGCTCTTCAGCGCAGCCGGACGCTCGGCCGCCGCAGCGTTCAGTTCTGCCACAGCTTCCTCGTACTGACCGAGCGCCGACAGACGTTTGATCAGCCGCTGGGTCATCTGCTGCATGGCTCTCCACGAGTACTGCAGTACCACAATTATCAGTGACTGTGTCATACACACACACATACATACAGTATATGTATATAGATACACATATATATGTATATGTGTATCCATATACAGTACATATGTACATATATATACACATACACACATATATACACATACACACATATATACACATACACACATATATATACACATACATATGTGTATATATACACATACACACATATATACACATACACACATATATACACATACATATACACATACATGTATATGTATGTGTATATATGTGTGTATGTGTATATATGTGTGTATGTGTATATATACACATACACACATATATACACATACACACATATATACACATACACACATATATACACATACACACATATATATACACATACACACATATATATACAGTGATCCCTTGCTATAACGCGGTTTACTTTTCACGGTTTCGCTACTTCACGGATTTTGCCTATCACGGGTTCTTTTTGGAACGTAACCCCCGCGAAAAACAAGGGTTTACTGTATACACATACATCTACATGTATGCGTATACACATACATGTATATGTATGTGTATATATGTGTGTATGTGTATATATGTGTGTATGTGTATATATATGTGTGTATGTGTATATATACACATACACACATATATACACATACACACATATATACACATACATATGTGTATATATACACATATGTATGTGTATATATACACATACACACATATATACACATACACACATATATACACATACATATGTGTATATATACACATACACACATATATACACATACATATGTATATGTGTATCCATATACAGTACATATGTACATATATATATACACATACACACATATATACACATACACACATATATACACATACACACATATATACACATACATATGTATATGTGTATCCATATACAGTACATATGCACATATATATACACATACACACATATATACACATACACACATATATATACAGTGATCCCTTGCTATAACGCGGTTTACTTTTCACGGTTTCGCTACTTCACGGATTTTGCCTATCACGGGTTCTTTTTGGAACGTAACCCCCGCGAAAAACAAGGGTTTACTGTATACACATACATGTATATACACTGCTTCACAACGACGGCACAAACCTCGTCCCCTCGAGCCACGTGGTGCGTCATGTCCTTCAGGCAGCGCATCATCCTGTCGTCCCTGAAGTCATAAGGAAACGTTTCCGTCCATTCAGTGAGCAGCTGCACCAGCTTTGGCGCCACCTCTCGGAAACGGATCTAGAAGAAATAACTGGATCAGACTTATATAAGCCAATCACGTCGCAGCTGATAAAGAGAGTGTTCAAACCTAGTTTATAGCACCCCCTAGAGGGAAACTGCTTTAATTTCACTTCACTTGTCAGTGTCAGTTGTCAGTTTGTCAGTGTTTCACTAGGAATCTCTCCTCAGTAACAAAGGCCTGTGTGTTGTGTGTGTGGGGGGGTGTTGTGTGTGTGTGTGTGTGTGTTGTGTGTGGGGGTGTGTGTGGTGTGGATGACACACACAGTGAGAGGAATAATTAGAGCTGTGTCTCTGAGCGGGTGAGTAATCCTCCCACCTTGTCCAGCAGGGCGTCTCCAGAGCGCTGCTGCTCCACACACAGGTGGCAAACCCTCGTCATCAACTCGTACGGCGGGAGGAAGAGGCGGGGGCTCAGGTGAAAACATACGACCTCTGACGAAGAGGACAAGAAGAAGAATCTCAGAAAAGGCAGGAGAAGAAGACGGAGTCAGGGGCTTCAGATGATCTACCTACATCAGGGTAGTAGTCCACGGTGGGGACCAGGTGCTGGATCAGAGCTTCAAGAGAGGCTGAGACCAGGCTGTTGTCATGGTAACACATCTCCCCATAGCTGGCTGTGACGCCGTGTCCGTGGGGTCGAGTCTTTGCCGCAGAAGAACCAACGGTCACGGTGTTGTTACGACAAGACTGCTCACTGCTGCCACCTCCTGTGCTGCTGCTGATGCTGCTGCTGCTGCTGCTCGTCGCGGTGGAGGCGTGGCGGGATGCCCGGCCCGGACAGAAGCTGCCGTGCTGCGAAGGGCTGCGAGGTTGCGGCGAGGAGTACGGGTTCTCCGCCACCATGCGGCTGCCGCGGTAGTGATGATGCTCCGTCGCCGCGGCGGGGGAGACGGAGGAGGTGCGGCAGGAGCAGTGAGGCTGAGGGACGTCGTAGGGGTTCTCAGCAGTGTAGGCTGCGTTGTAGATGTTGTCTTTGACAGCTGTGGGGGGGTTGCCGTTGTTGTACGGGCCGGGGGGCTGAGGATGGTGGTTGTTGTTGTTGTAGGGCACGCAGCCGCTGAACTTCCCAGCGTACGGAGTGGTGGGAGGCATGAGGAGCTGCAGAGACCAGGGAACCACAACATGGATGACCACAGGCTGGTCCAGACTACTGTAGTACTACTGTAGTACTACTGTAGTACTACTACAATGAAGGCAAATATAGGGAAACGTTAAACAGACTCGACTGCTGACGGACCACGTGTCGGTCCACAGCAGACGTCACTCAGCTGCTGTTTACTACAGTCAGAGTGTGTGGTGTGT